CTTTCTGAATGAAGGGGTACAGTACAGTCCTGAGAAACCTCATGGGAGTGGTGATAGGATGTTTTTGTGACTCACCTTTAAAAGAGAGTATTTTTTTCAGGGAAACCTTGGGGAGGGGGTGTGGGGATAGTTTGTCACTAGCCTTTTTGAGTGAAGCGGTTGCCCCGAGAAACCTCATTAGAGTGGTGAAGGGATACTTTTGTTACTAAACTTACAAGTGGCACTTTGGTTAATAAAAACTCAGGAAGAGCTGTAGGGATAGTGTGTCACTAGTGTTGAACAATAAAGGGTGAGAAACCTCATGGGAGTGGTGCGGGGATATTTTGTCACTAACCTTACGAGTGGCATTTTGGTCAGCGAAACCTCAGGAAAGAAGTGTAGAGATAGTTTGTCATTAGGGCTGCTGGGTGAAGATGGCACTGATCCTGAGCACTGTTTTGATAATGTGTCTAGTCCTCCAGCAAGGTCCGATAGCTCAGCATCACTCAGATGCTCATGCATTGTATGAAGAAGAAATTTCATATGCCTAAGAAAAACAACTAAGTACTTCACAATATGAAAGGCAAGAATGCATTTATAAGTGAATTAACAAGCACTATACCAGAGCAACCTATAGTGTGACCCCTTTTTATTCCTCGGTTTCACGTTACGCCATCGCTGCCATGTTGGATGACGATAACAAAGCATTCCTCATTAGCTTTGAGTTTTCAATTCAAGCACTTTTCAAGGATTTAAGGACTCGCACAGACCATGTTGATCATATGGTTGAAAGCCAAGAATATGTCATTGAGGAAATGTACATACCTAACAGCAAGTGCAGGGTCTCCAAGTCTACGAGCTGTATACACTAACTCATGCAATAGTCGTATCTGTAATGTTGGCCAGCCATTGGGATGACCTTCCAGTTATAGGAAATTAATGAAAGAAAGTTATATATCATGGCTAGATCAAGAATACATTTTAATAAAATTATGGCTTTTAWTTAAATATTGATAATGTTGGCTCACCTTTGAGGAATTTCAGTGGATCTAAATCAATATTATAACCTTTGATAGCTTCTAAGAGCAGAGAATATGACT